ATGCATCTTCAAAAAAAAAGATGCTTGTGCTTTTCCAATAATCATCAGTGTCAAGTGTGATCACACCCTTCTTAAATTATCAAACGAGCTTCTGCATGTGATATGAGCACCAATATGTTAGCTGCTGACTGTGACACTGAGTTGAACATAAATCAGCTAAGCACATCAGAGAATGAGCTTCAGAGACATTTCCATGGCAACACATGCACTGAAATCGCAGAGACTGATTGTTTTCTGTCAAAGGCCAGCTACACGGACAGAAAACCTTGAGAGACCACGTAGACTAGCACTGTGTGAAGGCTTTCACTTTTCAGCAGCTAAGATGAAGCACAGCACTCGGACTGCTGTGCATGTAGAAAAGAAACTCTAAGCTGTTTAAGTCAGCCAGTAATCCAGCTATGAGTGCAATGTGACATGACCACTGGGGACAATGAGTGCATGCTCATTCATTCATTGTCCCGTCAGCCTGATATCATCTCCGTGTTATCTAAATCTGCTACCAGCAGAGCAATGGGATTCTTACCGTCGTTATTAATATGTTTGGACTAATCAGTGTCTTTATTACACCCTAAAGCTGCAGTAACAGGATTTTACTTATTTGTAAAATCCCCACAAATCCTCAGAATGGCTGCCATAGATTTAAGGTTTTCTGTGAATGTTCCTCAATTGTTAATATCTATATTCACCAATTATTTCGTTTCTTGAGTCACTAGACAACACCTGTGGAAGGAAAGAGGGGAAACTACACCCCCTATTGCTGCTTGTTTTTTTTTTCTTTTATAGTTGCAAATATTTGTTCATTATGTCACAAATATTGTGCATAATTTGTAGTATTTTGGTGTATGCATGCAAGTGAAAGGCTGTGGAACAATGTAATTCTGACAAGTATTTGCTAAACCAAATCGCTCTAAACTAGGCACAATAAAACCTGACGTGATGTGCAAATAACTTAAGTACGTAATAGTGCTAAAGTACTACTCAATGTTACTGAACTACGTAAACATTTACAGTATATGCTTTGTTCAAATATATTACCAACAGAGTAACCATATGCTGTATACTCTTATACTAACCTTTCATTCAATCTATCCCTCTTTCAAAGGTTGGTTTGTTAAAGACAATTAAATAGTAACAGTAATTGAAAGAGAAATACAGAATATGGCTATATGCTGTCTCTGTGTGTGACTAACTCACTGCTATATATAGGCTATTAAAACAGTGGAAATGAAATGTGACAAAAAATAATGAATACTGGCAGCAGGATAGAGCTTTAAAACAGAGAAGAATCACACTGAATCAAAACAAAAAGAGTCCACTTATCTAAAATCTATAAAAAAGAACACTAGCATGTAACATATAGAGAAAAAAAATCATATATCTTTAAATGATTATTGGTGAATAAAATTATTCCACTGCCGAGTCATTTTTGTGCAGCTATGATATGCAGTACAAGCACAAACAGGAGCAAGCTTTTAAAAAGTTAGCGTGAGGATTAACACCCCTCCTATGGTAAATCTCTGTACTGCATGGCGATAAATCACTCCACTTAATTTCATTACATTTTCCATTAATCCACAGCATTTTTGGCAGTCAAAATATTTTGTCTTAATGGTTTCCATACAGATTAAATGCTTTTGCTATTGCCCTTGTGAAAGTTTGAAATGTAAGTGATTTAAGGAATTTCAGGAATCCTGAGATAATGAAGTGCATTTTATTTTAAATGTAGAATTACAAGTGTTGACCCCCCATCTATCAGCCTGCTTTGTTATGACATACATCTCTTCAAAAGTGTTTCCGCTTTGAGAAGTCATATGAAACATATGACACAAGTCATATGAAATCATTAGTTTAAAAATGTGAGTTACAAGCTATTGACACCCACAGCCAAACCATCAGCAGCTTAACTGAGAGTAGCAAAACTTGCCCATTCTAAGCAAAAGTCATGTGATCAGAAATGGTGATCTTTGTAACACTGATTGAGTTTGGGATTTCTGTCACAATCTTAAAAACCTCCTGCAGTTCCACCACACACCCCTAGGGGATCACACATCAATATAAATATAATTTCACATGCAATGGGGGCATATTGTCACAAAAGGTCAACGTGTGTTCAGTAGGCAATGATAGTGGAAATATACACATATATTTTCTCACTCATACACTGTTTATCACCAAAAACTTTCAAGTAATATTCAAAATCAAAGAGGACACAAGACAGGAAAAATGCTTTCACACTGATGTGAAGTTAATGGTAAAATACTAGTATTCAGCGTGTGTCTCTGTTTGCTGTAAAAATAATAAAAGACTAGAATCACACATACTCCTTTGCATTACCATAACTATCCCTCTTCTTCTCAACTACAGTGTAAGGATGCATGTGCACTGCAATTTAAAGATGACAGTAGGAATGGGAATCTCTTCTAATGGTTAGATGGGCATCACTGATTGGGGGTACTCCCTAGTCTCCAGCTCAAGAAACCAGTCATAAAAGGATTGGATTCCTCAGACTGCACTGGCAAATAATAATTAACTCTCCTTTGGTCTCAGAGACACAAGCAATAATTGACAAGGCAGATCTAAAGACCTCAAAAGACACTTTACCATGTTCTTATGATGGATTAACATCAGAAAAGCATCCCAATAGGACATTATTCCAAATGCTCGTAATATTTTCAGGAGGTGAAGTGGCTGAGTAGACAACAAAAGGACATTTAGTCCTGCAGTCTGTATATAGTCTCTATTGCCATATATCAAATTATCATAAATCACACTGAGCAGAATGTCAGAATTTGTGTTACTGGGAAAATGAACACTTACAGATTAATATGAAAAACATAATGAAGAGGAAGTGTGTGCGCATGTGTGTGTCAGCACTATATGGTGGAACAAATTCTCTATACAGCGAGACATGCACAGATGCCCTTGCTCTCCTTACACAGTTTGTACATTTTATCATCTCCTCGGCAGAGGTGTGTCACTGCACTGTTCTCAATCTGATCTGACAGAGTGCTGGTGTTTTCAGTGATACAACATCTTAGCAAAGTGCTCCAAAGACGAAGCCATGTTTTATTCATTCCATCTTTATAACCCATGAAAATAGACAGAGATGTAACTTCGTCCTAGTCAAACATGCTCACTGGGTCTAACAGAACTAAGTTTTCACACATTCCTACCAAGCTTGGCCTAAAATAATTGATTTGCATTAGTCGTTATTCAACCATTCATTTAAGCAGTTTTGTAGCCATATTGTTATGAAAATTACGTCTCACGATTTATTTATTTATCTTTTAGAGCACAAATACAGTATTGGTTCTTTACAAGTTCATCCCTGTGCTGAAATATGTAGCTGTAAAATCTCTGACCTGTTCCCAACATCTGCCGGATCTTAAAAAGATACATTTATAATAATTATTATATTATTATATGATATATCAACTATATTATTTTAATTGCTGTTTGATAAATGTAATTGTTTTTATCAGGACTTTTTGATATGCCCCTAAAATATACAAATGCAGGTCAATTCTGTGCATCAATGGTTCACAGTCTTAGTACTGGAGTCCTTTAAGCAACAACCATGATCCTGAACATTTGACAGATGTTATAGCATAAAGTAAATGCTCTCATAAATGTGCACTGATTCTGGATGAGGCCAATCACCACTTCCTTTCATCCAGAGCAGAAATTTACACTATACAGTAGCTCTGGGCCACTGACCACCATCAATATTTTATCAGGCCCCAACCCTGACACATAATTTTTTCATGTGACACTTAAGCTGCTGTGGAGAGGCATGTCAGAAAAACTGCATTATTTTGTTCACTGGGATAAAAGATTGTTAGGGATACAAAATGTTATTTATCTCGTATGTGCACACATATTTCAAATATGGCATACATATTGTAAATATTCATAAGCAATGCAAGTTGACCTACAGCAAATGTGTGATTCATAAATATAAGATCTCCAGAAGGGAATTAAGGCCAAGACATAGAATACCACAGCATGACTTTTCTGGCAAAGGCCTAAAGTCATAACCTTTATTGCTGAACAATGGTAAAATAAACCCAGCCAAATACTGACTGAAAGAGAAGCCAGTCCAAACATATGCAATAAAAATTGCATGATAATTTAACTCACACTTTTACTTCACTTCACATTTTCTAATAAACAGAAGTAATGTCCATTGTCAAAAGGACTAAAGTGAGGTGACAAACAATTTACTGATGTAGAACTCATAACAATTACAGTCGGATATTATGGAGGGTGAGATCAAGAAAGAGAGAAAAAGAAGAGTGCTCTGTTTGCCCAACAGTGGTATTTGAACGACAAGGATGAGAAAGGATTTGTGGTAAAAAGGAGGTGTGGTAGGTAGGGGGGATAGGTGGACAAAAAAAAAAAAGCACAAAAACTTTTAAATAACTCTGCCGAGTGTTGAGGCCTCAGCCCTGCCTGTCTGTTGCCCTGGGTGCGTGTGAAATGCTTCCAGTGAACAAAGTAAGCCATGGGTGCATCCCAAAGGCCTTTGTGGCCAAAGCCTGGTGAAGAGGCTCTTCATAGCGCCAGCAAACACAGTCTACAGCCTCTCACCACAATTCTGCAGATCCTCCCATTGTGTCCCAGCACACATTACACACTCGAGAGGGAAAGAGGAGAAAC